AGAGTGCTGTATGAATGTGTGTGTGTAGTAGAGTGCTGTATGAATGTATGTGGAGGTAAATGAGGACACACTGTTTTGTAAAGAGCTTTGATTATCTTTGAGAATATAAGACTTACAGAAACGTGCTACTTAAGTACAGTCCTATTATCTTCATTTAATTTTTTCAAGAGTTTTTTGGACCCAGATAATAAAGTATTTCTATAGTCCAGTTTAGAAGTGACAAATGAGTATGTTTCTAATTTTCTAGATCTTTCTCGTTTTAGTGATATTGTCAGGTGGAAGAAAGAGCTCCTGGTAACTTTTTAAATGTGTGGTTAAATGACATCCTGATCAAAAATAACACTGAGGTTCTTTACATTAGAACTGGAGGCCCAATTCATGACACTCAGAGGAAATGAAAGACTCTGGTCCAAAACCAATGACGTCTGTCCTAACAGAGCTTAAAGACAGAAAATTAAGAGTCATCCAGGTTTTTGTGTCTAAGACTTGCATCTTAAAGTCATAAAATGTGTGTGTCACACTAGTAACTGATTGGATTCATCAGGTTTCATGGGTAAATATAAACGAGTATTGTCATCATAACAAAAAATATTTATCCCATGCTGTCTAATACTCTTACCTAGTGTTTGTGTATATGAAGTAAAGGGTATTGGTCCAAGTACAGAACCCTGAGGAACTCCATGACTAACAGTGAGCTGTCTCAATGTTCTGACAGGATGCTCAGATCATCAACTGGCTGCAGGAGTTTCGAAGCTGTATGTCCCAGCTGACCAAGGACCATGAGCAGCTCATTTACACAGCACTGGTGAGAGAAGGCTAGCCTGGACTGTTTTTTCTTATTGAAATGTTTCGAATTCAGTTGCAGTAATTTAGTTTGCGTAGAGCTAAAAACAAGAACATTAATAATAGCATTACTAGGATCATTGCATGGTGAAATCATAATACAAACAACAAATAACTCAAGACAGTGTTTGTTTAAACACATTCTGTTTATTAAGTTTTTAACCTTTAAAATGAATAGTTGACAACAAACCCTGCACCCACACTTAACAAACAAACAAACAAAACAACGAATATAAAAAATATAAAATATATACATTTTCTTCTTCACGTAGAAGGAGTGTGAGTGGAAAAGCAGAGGAGCGGAAAAGAGTGAAAGTGCTCATTCTTTCTATTTTTCTGTCCTTTTTTTACTTTTTTCCCACTGGGTGTTTTTATGTTGGTTGTTGGTTGGTTGTATCATCATCTATCATCTATGATAGAGGACATTTGCAAACTGAGGTGTACCGCAAACCAACCCACACAGACCAGTATTTGCAGTTTGACTCCCATCACCTGTTGGAGCACAAGTTAGGAGTCATCAGGACTCTGTATCACAGAGCAGACAGCGTCTCCACTAACTCAGGAGCCAGGCAGAAGGAGAAATCCCACACAAGACAATGTGGATATCTTAACTGGGCCTTCCTGAAATCAGAGAAGAAACCCCAATAAGACTCCAGTCAGCCATCAGGTGAAAAGGAGGAACCCAGCCCAGTGGTCATTCCGTATGTTGCGGGAGTATCAGAGAAACTGAGACGTTTATTTTCTAAACACAACGTCCCAGTGGCTTTTAAACCCCAAAATACATTACGGCAAAGACTGGTTCATCCCAAAGATCCAGTCCCCCGGCACAAACAGAGTAATGTTGTGTATGCTGTTCATTGTCAGGAGGGCTGTGATCAGTCTTACATCGGGGAAACAAAACAGCCACTGGCCAAAAGGATGGACCAGCACAGAAGATCAACATCATCAGGCCAGGATTCTGTGGTCTACACTCATCTCCAGGCCAGAGGTCACTCTTTCAGGGATAAAGATGTTCACATCCTGGATAGTGAGGAACGATGGTTTGAGAAGAGTAAAGGAGGCCATCTTTGTATCACTCAGCCCTCTGTAAGTAGTAAACAGCCATCAGTGTGCTAATGATCCATTGTTAGGCTGATGGTCCTTCTTGAGCATGTGAGCAGCTGGTTTTGGTTGTCAGCAGCAAACTGGTTGATCCACTCTGAGAAGGTGCTATTTAAGAGACTGAGCTGAATACAGCACCTCAGACTGAGGAAGTCTTTCGGATGAAAGACGAAACATTTCTACATGATTGTTATTTTTTTGCTTTGTTTTGTTTTTTTTGAATGTCCAGAGGACCAGATTTAACTTTTTTAGATCTGTCACTGAGCATTTTAAGTGACTTAGAAGTCAAATATCTCGCAAAGTTTTTGCTCTTTTATTTAAAACAATATTCTAGTTGAATTCATTATCCAAAACCGCTAATATTTTGTTTATCTACATTATAGAAGAATCAATAGTCGTTACTTAAAATCATGAATTGTGTCTTTCCTGATTATCAGTATTTACTTGCATTCAGCCATCCATAACACTCTGATACCTGGTTGTTCCATCTGCCCAGTTTAGTTTCTCAAGTCTCCTTGTGGTATCTCCTGTAGAGTGAAAAATGGGGGCGGGGTGTATACAGCCATCCATCCCTGCTGCAGCACTTTATAGTTAACAGTTCTAAAAAGCATTCACATTAGTTATTTTAGTTCAGCACTGCTCCAGAGACCTGTGAAGGGTTAATATTGTTCAAGATATACAAATCACATCAATTAAATAATCGTCAAACATAATCTTTGTTTAACCAGTAATTTTTTAAGGGACAGGCGCCGGTGAAGTGAAAATTTCTCTTTTGAAAACATAAAATTACCAATTTTAACCTGTATTTCTTTAATTTAACACTAAGGTCGTTTTCACACTAGATAGTCCGGTAGACTCGGTTCGGTTCGGGACCAATATTCATGACATTTTGTTACATTTGAGCTGGTGCATTTGCATTCACACTGCATTGTGCAGTCGAGTCAACCTGTTGAACCAACCTATTCCCCCGCTCGCCTGTGGGGGCGCTGCACCAAGAACTACTGAAAGAAACAACACAAAAACCTCTGAAGACACGTCTTCTTCTTCTTTTGTAAATAAAAACAAAAACGAAGTGGCGTCAAGTTTTTTCAGTTTTAGGAGTTATATTTTGTCATTTTTCAAAAATGGACTTGGCATGAGCAGAAGATGAGACAGAAGACCATGGAGAATATTGTTTTTCCACACAAGGCAGCTGACGGCTCCATATAAGGTCAGAGAAATGCGTGTTTGTTTACCCTGCGAAGTGGGTCCAGTCTGTTTCCTATCCGCTCCCACGCGCACCCTGGTGAAAAACATCCCGTATATAAACTTTTACGTCCGATAAATACAATAACAAAATCCCGTATTATACTGTAACGTTCTACTGCCTTTTAGTTCACCAAACTGCGTGCACAAAAACCGAAAAAAGAGCAGCCTTTGAGTCCTTAAGGGACATGCAGAAATTCGATTTAACACTTTTTCTGCTTACCTCATGAGATGATAATAGCCAGCTTGTTCAGTCTGCTCAGACTTGGTCACCTGCCGCTGTGTCACCATTAAACAATAAAAAACAAGCTACCACTTCTAAAGACGGGAGACCAGGTCACGGCACCAGCAATTAATCCAGATATCTTCAGAAATGTCTGTTGTTTTTATTAAGTAAAACGTGCCAAGTTTTATTAATCAGAGCCGATCAGTATAATCAAGTGTACAATGTTTGATGTTAAATTTTGATTCTGTTAATAAATGATCACATTCATTTTAATGGGTCAAAGAAAATTAACGTCTCATGTCACTGATTAAACCATCTCCAACACAGTACCTCTGTCACATATCTGTCAAGTAGCTCGAAAAAGTGAGAACCCGTTATTAAATATTGATTGTAGTGGAGCTCTTAAGCTAACTGAAGCTAACCTAGCCCTATCTCACTACATAATTAACATAATATTTCACCTAACTGAAGCTCGACTCAGTTTATTCATCAGTAATATATTCAGTTATTCATCTAACCTCACCCAAAATCCACGATCTCCTCTGTGACATGCTGAGATCTTAATGAGTCTTCAAAATAAAGCTTCTCACCTCCTCTGGGGAAGCGAAGATGTGTTGGATATAATCCGCCACCATTCTCAGCACAGCTGGATATAGCATTGCGTACTGAAGCCCCTTCTCCTGCAGCTGCCTCTTCACTCCATCAAACTTTATGCACTTCTGAATGATGTCTTGCGACAGGTCTTGGAATAAGGGCACTCGCTTGCCTCTCCACTCCACATACTCCTTCTCTCTGGCCACCCGCAGCACTTCTTCTCTGGCTCCGAACTTCAGGAAACGCACCAGTACATGCCGGTATCTGTTGTCACGCTGACATGTTCTGTGGGCTTGTCCCATTTCAAAGTCCGGTCCTATTTTGATATCCAATGCTTCCTCCAGAAATGTCTGCACAAACTTTTGCATGTCTCGTCTTTCAGCACCCTCCGCTATTCCAACTGTGCGGATATTATTACGGCGGCCGGAGTTTTCTAACTGTTATCTTCTCCTGAAGTTGGGCAATTGTTTAAGTGGCCGCATCCATCACGACACCCTGACCCTGGTTCTTATCTTCCAGTGTTGCAATACAAATCTCAGCTTCAGCTATTTGAGCTCCCAGTTTCTCCACCACCGTTTGCACTGCATCCATGCCCGATTTTAGCTCAGTTATATTGGAAGCAATATTCTGTAACAGTTCTCTAATTTTAGACAGGTAAATCCCATTGAGCCTCGAGGACTTAATGCTCGTTAGCTCCGCTGCAGTAGCCACCTATGGTGGGTCTGGAGTGGCCGCCATGTGCTCCTCTCCGTCTTCCTGAGTCTGTCGAGTTACTCTTCTCAAACCAAACTGTGTAAGGGTTTTCTGAACTTCTTGCATATTAAAATCAGATCATAACCCTCTACCTGTTCATTCTCTGCATTTAGGATATCTATATCATGATATAACGAAGGGGGTATGGTGAACAGATTTGCAGCAATTTCTCTACATCGCCATCTAAGGTACTTGCTCCACCGGAAGTCATGCAGGTGTTTTTTGTGCTTGGTGGCCGACGAAAAAATTCAGAGCGAGCTAGATGGAGCTCCGCTGGTCCCCGACTTTCCCCCCGACTTTCCCCCCGACTTTCCCCGATCTTCTCTACCAGAGCCTTGGAGCCAGGCAGGGCATCATCTTCCCGGCTCCGATGTCTGCTGCCGCTGACTCGGGGCTTGGGCTCCGGATCCCGGCCTTGCGTGCTCTGCGTGCTCCGAGCTCTGCTGGTCCACGCAGAGGATCATACGAGCTGCTGACTTGCAGAATGCCATTGCCTGGACCCTGGCCTCACTTGCTCATTAAGGCCGAACCCCGATCCCGGCAGACCGGGACGGGTCTGGTACGGAGGGTGGAAACTATTTTTAAAAACACTTTTTGTATAAAAAAAAATTAAAAAAATTATCAGTGAAGATTAAAATATAATACAATAAAAATAAGTGTTGCCAGTTTTATCATGAAATCTGTTTTCACTTTAATGGCTATTAAAGAATCAGTTAGTTAACTCAGCTGAAAAATCATAAAAAGACACAAAATGATTTGATCTCAGGAATATTTCCCTCAAACATGTTTAAAGAAGAGTTACGGCCTTTAGTTCAACTTTATTCCAACCCACAGATATACAAATCACAAAACAAGAACTTTAGGGGGCCGAGATGGTGTAGAGGCAGGGCAGCCGGCTTGGGACCCGAAAGTCCCAGGTTCGATCCCCAGTCACTGCACATCACGTGGTGTCTTTGGGCAGCACACCTCATCCCCAAAATGCCTCCCGGGCGCTTTCAATAGCTGCCCACTGCACCACCTGGT